AACATGAATGATACAATATAATGTTCTTAAAATTTTAAACGTGGTTGGATCATTATATGTTGGCATGTGGGGCACGAGTACCAAAAAAGGAAGCACTTTGTCATATGGGTACAAAGAAAAATGGGGACCGTCCTTTTTGTGCCATGTTCGTTGTTTCTGTTTCCATTTCCTAAACAAAGTAACTCCACAAACCTGGGTTTTAACTACATTTGATTATTAACAAATATTATCTTACCTAAGGGTACCAATTAGTAAAGGACAAGATGTAGTAGTATTTCACTTGAATTTTTACATACGTTATATGTTAAAATGGAAAAATAACATCATTAATTTACATGAAATTCTATACCCTTTTTCCTTACCTTTAACACAAATTGTCCAATCAAAATATTATGTTAAAAAAGTCATTGAGTGGAGGTAATTATGTTCCATACCAATCACAAGCGTGGCTTTCGTTAGATATATGTTTTTTTATCGATGAATCATAGCTTGAGATTTCAATTTAATCATTAAGATAGATAGAGGGGATATGAGGAGAAATAATCTCATGGTATTGTAGTATAGTTGATTATTACACGTGTGAAGTAGTTGTTTAAATATATATATATATATATTTTTGAACATTTTGACACGGGGCGGGTTCGAAACCCGCCCAGGGGAGGGGAAAATGCACCTAACAAGCTGGTTAATGCCAGTGGGCCTTTAGGCCCATGTGCAAATATATTTAATAATAAATAATAATTATTTTTTTATAATTCAAAGTATATAATTTATTCAATTAAAACTAACAATTAATAAATATTTATAAAAAATTAAAAAAAAAAAAACCAAAATGAAGGAAAAAAATATTAATTTCACTTGACTAATCTGACCAACTTGAGAGAGAAAAGTCTTAAATGCATGGCAATGCATGCCAACTCTAAGTAAGCACAGCCCACAAAAGGGTATTTCAACGAATTTTTTGGTCTATTCTCACCCAACCTGACTAACATTAATCTTGTTCTTATCCACCATGGATAAACCATACCTTCATAATCATGCCAATGATCATATAATTGAAAGTTTGTTCAAAGGCACTTTTTGCAAAAAACCAAAAAAAAAAAAAAAGTGAGTTAAATGGGAATAAGAACCCAAAAAAGCTAGTGTTTGCTGTGCCTAGAAGAAACCCAAAAAAAGGCCTGAAGCTCTTTGTCTGTTGCACCCAATTCCTGGTCCACTTAAGCACTAATAAATCAAAAAGGGACACCCCAGTCACATCCACGGATGCATCAGAGCTCCATGTCATTGCTTAATTGATGATCTATAGCAGTCTCTCGACCAACCATCTTCTACCCCTCATAAGGAGGAAATTCAATTTTAACTTTACTAGTGTATGTTACTTAGCCGTCGAGGTATCTTGACTTTTCTCATGACTTGAAAGATGTTATACGAAACAAATTTATTTTAATTTTATAATTTTATGTGATAATAATTATGGTCCATTTTTTTATATAAATTTTTATAATTTTGTGTTATTTTATTAATTTAATATTATTAATAATTTAAATAATTTAATAATAGTAATTTTATTAAATAAAAATAAAAAAAATTTAAATTTAAATCATATAATATATAAATAAAAATTTTAAAAATAAAAATTAATATTTTATCATATAATTTAAAATAAAAAATTAATTGATTTAATGTCACGTGAATATTAATAGACTTATTTCATGATAAAATCGTGGGTAAAAATGCCGAGAAACAAATGATAGACAGACGGGATGAGGGATAAGTTTTTCACGTTTTACTCTAAGGTACGGCAGGTTTTCATCTATCCAAACAAGTCATGAAAAGGACTTGAAGATACCCTAGAAACATCTGGTTGACCAAGACAGCAAAATTTCATCAATTTATTATCCCAAAAGTGTAGTGCAAGTCAATCTGTACCGAATTACGTTACACTAATAATTAGGTAAAGAAGATTTTTTAATATTAAGAATTTTTTTATTTAATAATTTTTATTTTATAATTTAATTTAGTTTAAGTTATAAAACAGATTTTTCTTTATTATTTTCCTTATTACTTTGGAACAAATCCCTTAAATCCACTCGTTAAATAAATGGGTAAGGATAAATTCGTCCCTCAAAAAAATACAGAAATAAATTACTCATTTAAATTATAAATTGAGACAAATCACTTATTTTTTTAATATATAACTTCAAATTTTTATTTGTCACATAAACTTTTTTTAATGAAAAATTGACGTCACATGTTAAAAAAATAATTTATTTTGATTTATAATTTTAAAAAAATATTTATCTCTACATTTTTTATTTTTTTTTTGAGGTGGATTCCCCGTATCCCTACTTGAGCGATGGATTTGGGTTTTGCCTTAGTTTGGTTTTGTAAATAAAGGAGAACTGGGCTTTGAAGGGCCTTCTGGTTGCTAGCATTACAGCACTGACCCGGCCCATAAATTAAGCAAGGGTCTCCATCCTGCTTATCACTTTTTGGATTTTGGGTGTGACCCAATAACCCTTAGGAAGTGGCATCGAGGCAGTACCGTGTCTCGGCGCCGACAGGCCTCCACTAACATGACACGTGGTATCGATTTGGTTTTCAGTTCAAGAAAGCAAACTTAGCTGTTGTTATGGGAACACGTGTCAGATGTTAGACTGGCCCCAGACGATTGGCGTGGCGTGTTTACACAGCCGAAAAAACAGGCGGGAAAGGACTAAAAGGTCAAAAGAGTACCGTAAGGAATCATAGTTCGCTCAGAATATTATTTCAGTAAATATTGTAATTATAATATAATTTTAAATGTATAAATATATATGATATGAGTATTAATAAAAA